GCTCTGGACGGCGCTTGTTGGTCTGCACACCACGTCCCGGCAAAGCCCTTTAAGGGCGTGCGCTGGGCCGATCAAAGGCGACCTATGTGAGTCGGCACTTAGCGGCTGGGCGGTACCCGAGAGTGGTCTGCGCTCCGGCTGTCATGGCACCGGCGTCTCTCGCGGCTCACAAAAACAACACGCGGCCAGGCGCAGGCCGACAGTCTCTCACCTGGCGCTATCTTGTTTCTCACTCTCTGCCGTTACGCGCGCTCGCACCCGGGCCTCGTATCCCACCCGTGTTGCTCGGGCCTCCCGCTACGCTGCCGACCTCGCCCAGGTGTCGGCCGTCGGCGGCAGGTGTTCGCCGTGGCCGCGGGGCGTCGCCGGCCCAGAGACGCCGTATACGGCCGTGTAGGGCCGCCCGCCCGCCGCCATCGGCCGCCGGCCGACGCGGCGCGGCGTGCACGGCCCTGCACGACCGCGACGCTCCGGCGTTTCCGGTGGGCCTGACCGGCGGTGACCCGCGGCGCGCTGGCCCCGCCGGCGGCAGGCGAGGTCGCCGCGAGAGGGCGGGGCGGCTGGCCGCCGCCCCGGCCGGCCCGCTCCATTAGTAACAGCGGACAAGTGGGCCATCGCATCATCGCGGCGCCGCAAAAACCGCCCGCCGCGTCGCGTTTAAATGGCCGCAGCGAGACGCGCCCATGACTGATGACCGTTAGCGCGGGAGGCGTCACGGTGGCGAACTTGTTATGCACAGTGGTGCTGCCGGCGGCTGGCCATCGTGGGAAACATTAGCAGGTGCGATGCGGCCCCGTGGCCTTGTGTACAGGCGTTGAAATGGAGGATGCGGTTCGTCAAAAAGTGGTTGTGCCGAGTGGATAAGCACAGACGCCGTCGGGGTTATCGGTCTGCCCTTGGTGAGAGCAGGCTGTCTTGTCTTGGTGCTCATTTGGTGATGCGATCTTGTTGAGAGCGGTGTGGCTGTCGGGCTCCGGCCTGTTTTGTTGGTGGTTAGTTCCCGATGTTTTGTGTAAGCATCGTTACCTCTCGTTTGCGCCGCCAGCCCAGAGCGTGATTGAGAGGGCAGATTATGATTAATGAGGTAACGCGAGCACCCTGCGTGGGCGTCATTGTTGCCTTTTTGTTGCTAGTTTATTTTTCATCCTTTATTGTTTCCGGGTGCAAGCCCGTACTGATATGTCGCCAAGTCATCACCGGGTAGCAGCGTGATTAAGGAAGAATCAGCTCCGCTTGCGAGGACCGCGGTGGTCCCGGCCACGAAATATTCAGATCAGTGGGGGCGAAAGCGCGGCGTAGATGTGGGGTTGCGTGGCACGCCCTGGTTTGTCAGCGCCGGCCACATCCCCGGCCCTTCTCACCGCTGAGCGGATGTTGAGGTCGCTAATGTGGCCGTTCAGTTCCGTGCCGCTGTATGCTGGCGCCATGGCCAGCTCCACACCCAGCGCCGCCGCACGAACAGCGGCGCGCGCAGCTCGTGAGCGATCGTGAGTGACCGTGGGCGCGGCGACGTTCACGGCCGGCCAGCTGGGGCAAGAGGGGGTGAGGGGGGGGGGGGGGCGAGGCGGACTTCTGTGCGTCACGCTCGGGGCATTGGCACCACGTGACGCTGAGGACACACCTGGACGCGTCCATCCCGGGCCTTTCCCCTGCCCTGGCCTAGACTCACAGCATCCTTATTTCACAACTCATTCATGACGGCTACAATTCTGTTCTTGCCAAATACGACGCGTTAAAATGGTTCGTCTGCGCCGTCGTCGCGTCCTGGGTGTTCCTAGCTGCACCCGTGTGACCGTGACTCTCGGTGACTCGGGGTGACTCCCGACGCTGTGCCCGTGCGGCCGTGACTCCCGGTGACTCCCGATGTTGCGCCCGTGTGACCGTGACTCTGGGCGACTCCCGACGCTGTGCCCGTGTGGCCGTGACTCCCAGTGACTCTGGGTGACTCCCGACGCCGCGCCCGTGTGGCCGTGACTCGAGCGGAAGGCCCCGTGGCGGTCACGGACAGACGGCCGGCGCGATTCAGGGGGCGTTAATGAGATGTACGTGCTTGCCTCCGCGGGCCCGCTAGCGCTGTTAGACTTGCAAATAGAGGCGACCTCTCGGCTTATTTGCACGATGATCCGACGGGCCGCCGCCGATGCGAGATCGCCGCGCCCACTCGCACAGTGGGCCGCACCATATCCAGGTATGGCTCCGCCTGGCTGAGCACCGGCTCCCAACACGGCCTGCCGACATGCAAGAGCCGAACCGGGCCGGACGGGGCGAGCTGCAGGGGCGGGGAGCCCGCCCACGGGGGCGGGGGCGCTCCTCCGCCCCCGCGGCGGCCCACGCGCTCGGCGCTGGCCGCTGTTGACTGTGCGCGGCCGACGTGGGATGATGCGCGACCTTGCCGTGTTCGGATGGGCGCGTCAGGTGGGGCTGAGTCAGCCCGGCCGCCTGTGTGTCGGAAGGCGCGCCGGAGATGGGGCTGGCGCGGTCGCCGGGCGATCGGGGAGGCGCGGAGCGGCGTCTGAGATGGCGCCGCGGCGCGGACGGACGTCGTCTCGGGGCGGCAATGTCAGATCGAGATGACAGTGTCAGCGGTCGGCTGACAGCGCGTGGATTTGATGTGGGGGCGGGGCTGGAGACACGTTTCGTCTTGCGACCCGCAGGAAGTGGATCGCGGATGGCAAAGTGAGACTGGTGGCAGCAGGCGGACTTGCAGAGGGGAGTTGAGATCTCGCCGTGCGCGCGTTCAGTCCCATGTTGCCCATATTGAGTCAGCAATGTCCGGAGCTGCTCTGTGGTAATGGTAACGGCTGGCTGCTTCAAATGCTCTTCCGCAATGCCTTGGCTTGCCCCAGACACGTCTGGCGTTATTCTGCAGGGTAATGTCTGCTCATTGCATTCCGTCTGCAGCTGCGGCACGCCTTGTCTGGGTGGGTGTTGTTTAGCCTCCCTCAGTCCCGACCCCGCCTCGCGCGATCGTGTCTGGACTAGCGTCGGCTGACTTCACACGGGCGTCCCCGACGCGTCGCGTTCGACGCCCGTCGGCGTCGGCATCGGTGCCGGCGCAATCGGCCGGTGCTCTCCGCCGGTGCGTGCGTGCAGTCTCCAGCCTCCGCCGCCGCCGCCGGCGGCGCCGCTGGGTCAGCTGATCGAGACAGCTGTTTACGAGCCGGCGGCCAATTCGCGCCAATTTCACCCGGTTATGGCGCGCCCTCCCACGCGCGGTTGGGCCGCTCTCGGCGTTCGGCGACTGTGGGCGCCGCTTGGCAGGCGGCGTGCTGTCGCGTGCCCTGAGGCGCCAGATGTCGCCGGCGGGATTGAGCCGCCAGGTCGAAGGATCTGGGCTCGACTCTCGTTGTTGGAAACTTTTATTGGCTCGGGTCGCCATCATGAGTAACGGGGATAATGACATCAGCGGTTGCATGTGGTAGCCGACAGAACATCGTGTCTGAGATCGAGTAGAAATAGTGTCCGTTCGTCCTTGGAGTGAAATTTGCTCCGTGCTTAATGTTCGCACGTCCGGGCCTCGAACGAAGATGAAGCAACGGGATCTGGGCGGAAGGCTTCGCCGCACCAGCGACGAAATTGCTGGTGATGGAGGGCACGTTTTTGTTCCTGATCGGGCAGAGCGCCATGTGGGTGGAAGAGTGTGGGGGTCGCTGATTGGACGAGATTGCTGTCGCTGGGCCGATGGACACCTCTGGCTCCCAGGCTTCCGCTCCGAGGCGTGGGTGGAGCAGGTCTGCTCGATGACAGAATAGAGCCGTTGCTACCGGCGCCGGGTGGAGTACACGTTTGCTGTCTGGGGACCTGGGAGCCCCGGTTCAGCCGCCGGGCCGTGCGGTCCGCCCGCGCGCCGCGGGCCTACCTCAGCCCGTCTGGGTGGAGCTGCCGGCGGAGTCGAGCTGCTGGGGCGCGCCTCGGCTCGGCCCGTAACGGGAGGTAACCGCCCGGCCCGAGGCCCAGGCGGAGGCCGCGCCGGCCGAGCCGGCCGACGGTGGCGGCGGCCGGCCGGCGCGCGACGCGTCCTCCTGGATGGCGGTGATGGATCGGCGCACTGGGCCGCGGCGGCTCGGGAAGAGTTGGCGGCGCCGCGGCGGCGCGATGCCCGCCAGAATGCGCCCCGTCACGTCCGAGCCGCGGACGGGCGACCCGCCGCTCTCGCGCTCTCGCTCTCCGCCCCTCGCCGCCTCTCGCCGCCACCGGGCCATCCGCCGACGAGTGGCGGGCGCCCGTGTTGTGGCGTCCGGTTGGCGGCCGAATGGCTCGCGCTTGCGACCGCGCCGAATTGAACGGAAGGCCCCAATGGACGCCCGGGCGCGCCCGGCCGCCGCGCTGAATAGACGCGACAGCGCGGTCGCCATCTCACCCAGGGCGGACGCCGAGCCCTCGGCGTCTCCCGGCTCGGCGACAGGCCGGGCTTAGCCGGCCGCGGCGAGTCGGCAGAGTCGGCGTGTCGCTGTCAGGCGCGGTGCGCGTTTTTGCGGTCGCTGAGCGATGCGTGTGGCGCGCCGGCCGGCCGAGAATGTGCGATCCCATCATCGTTGCGCCGACAGACGATATGTCAGCGCGACCGGCCGGTGGGTCTGCCAGTGGGTCTGCCGGTGGAGGCGGAGGCGGCGCCGCGTGGGCGCCGGGGCACTGCAGGGCCCGTGATTACAGCGGCCGTGAACCGGCTGCGGCGCCACGACTGCCGCGGGCGCCAGCTCTTGGCTCCGATACGATCTCTATTTACTGCCGTTGATTCGGCGCTGCGCTGTGGTGCATCGCAACAGCGGCTGCTCCGCGGCCAGGCTCCTTGTCCTTCAGTCCTCCGCTCCTCCCGCTCCTCCCGCTCCTCCCGCTCCTCGTGCATAGCCGGCGCCGTGTGACGCGGCGCCGGCCGCGCCGCCTCGGCTCCCACATATGGTGATGGCTGTCGAGGGGGCGGGTCTCCGCCAGCGGTCGGCCCCCGCAGCCGGGCGCCCGGCCGGCCGCCCGCCGCCCGGCCGGCGTCCAGTCGCTCGCGGCCCCGCATCGCGTACAGACGGTGCGTCACGGCTCCCGACCGGCCGGGCTCCGGCGGTGGCGGCGGCGACGGCGGGCGCACCGCTGGCCCGACCATGTGTTGGGTCGGCGGTGCGACCGCCGCCGCCGCCGCCGCCGCCGCCGCCGCCGCCGCCGCCGTCGGCTGCCGCTCAGTTTATTTGCTGCGCTGTCTGTTGTGCTGCGTTGTGTCGTGTCGTGTTGTGTTGTGTCTTGCCGCGTGTGAGTGACCCCGGTTTCTCGCCCGGCAGTGTGATGAAGTGGTCCCTGTGACTCTGAAGACGTTCCGCACCGAGCTCAGTAGTGCGCCCGCCACCGCCGTCGCCGCCGCCGCCGTCGACGCAGACGTCATGGACAGCAGGAGGGTCGTCCGCACCGTCACCTCCCGCAGGTCAGTCCCTGCCGCCGGCGCATGTCCGGGCCGCCGCCCGTGGACTCCCTGGGTGCAGGTGGTCGGCGCCCGGGCGCTGGGAGGCTCGATGGTCCGTATCCCTGGGCCGTCCGTCATCTGGCGCCGCGCTGTTTCTTCTCATGGGCTGAGGCGATATACTTCATCGGTTCATTTTTCTACGTCCCTTGCATCGCGGGATCGGCCGGAACCCGGCCCCGCCTCGAGAACTGCTGTCTCACAGCTGGTGCGGGGGCGTTCTGCAGCCGGCAGACTCCCGGAATCTCACGCGCGATAGCGTCCCGCCAAAACGAGCCCGCCACGCCGCGCGCTGCACCGCCGTGTGCTCGTCCCTGTCCGCTCCTGTCGGAACGGGTCGTGACCTTTCCCCGCATGCCTCTGGCAATGACATGACGGACGTTGGTAACCGGGCGGCGACACGCGACGGGAACTCCTGGGGAGGGCTGCAGCGTGCTCCGTCCAAGCCCGGGCTGGTCCGGGCGGGCTGGTGGCGGCCAGGGCGTGTCCGGGTGGGTGACGGCGTGGCGGAGCCCCGCCCGTTGCGCCCCGACTCGCGCCCGGTACAGTTCCGGCGCATGGACGGTTTGGCTCGTGTTTTTGCAGCGAGTCACGACTCGAGGAGTAAAACATGGCCAATCGTGGGCAAGGGTCTGGGAAAGAGGTGCAGAGTGAAGCAACGCTCCGCAGCCGTAGCCGTGTTAGGACGGCAGCTCTGTAGAATCCGTGCTCTACATGGGGATAATTTTAACCCTGCCACAACTCTGCGCCGTTTTTGGTCTCGTGCTCAGAAAGTCCCTTTCCCAGTCTATCAGCTGGGATCTATCGCCGCCAGAGGATGAGCGCTGCACGCCATGCCCGGTGCAGCGTCGCTATCGGTCCGAACATCAGCGCTCCCGCTTGCGGTGTGATCCCCCGGCCGTGGTGGTCGGTGGGCGCGGCCGCCCGGCCGGCGCGCTGACGTCACCCGTTCGGGGTTTGTTTGCGGCGAGGCGGCGCTGTGGTCTCGTCCCTTCCTGCGATCCATCTATCGCCGAGCAGCGCGCTGGACAGCCGCTCAGCAGTCACGTCAGGCCTTCCACGCATGCGGAGCTCTCTGAAGTGTGACGGCATTAGCGTGCTTACGTAAGGATGAAATCATTGGCGCGGCTTTCCGCCGTGCAGCGCGCGCTTGCAGGGATTGTGAGCGCCGATAGAGTTAAGCCGTATAGTGCGGGACCGGCGTTTGCGTCGGTTTCGTTCTCTGAAGGTACCTCAAGCGCAGAGATGGTCTAGCCGGGACGACTTCTATCCCGCTCGCCCGAGATGCGTCGCTGCTCCGCCCTTGTCGCGGTGCCGGGCGCGCCCTGCTCCCAGCTCCGCCCCCGCCGCGCCCCTGCCGCGAACGAGTGCGCCATTGTCAGTGGGCGGGCGGGTGTTTGCTGCGTGGGCGGCGTTGCGTGCAGCCGCTCTGCTCGGCTCTGGCCGGCAGCGGCGACCTCGGCGTCTCGGCGGCGGCGAGCAGCCGCTGGTCGAGCTGGTCGCTGCTGGGCGACGCCCCGCGGCTGCTGGTTATCCCGGCGCCGCCGGCGGCAGCGCGCGGCGGTGATGGACGAGCTCCATCACGGGCCGCGTGGTCCGTTGGCCGTGACCGCCGGGTCACGGGCAGAGGTCAGGCTGCGCCGCGTCAGCTTCGCTCTTCGCCGGCGGGGGCCTGTGTCAGGTCGTGACAGGTGCGTGGGTCCCGATGAAGACGGAGTCCCGGTCGCATGTGGGACAATTTTGCTGGCTGCGCTCGGGGCGTGCCGCTGGCTCGCCGGTTGTCGTAGTGTGGCACGTTGTCTTCGAGACACACATGGTTGTGTCGGGGGGAGGGGGGCGGGGGCGATCTTCTCGACGGCCGCCGATGGATCGCGCAGTCTTGGCGAACGATGTCGGTCAGCTGTCTGTAGCCGCAGCTCTTTTCCGTCACGCCTCCTCGGCAGCACCAGCCGGCCGTGTGCTCAGACCCCCCCCCCCCCCCCTCTCCTCTGCCTCCTTCCCCTTCCGCCGCCGCCCGGCGCCCTGCGTCGGCAGCCGTGGCCCGCTCCACGTCTGGAAGAGGCACGGTCCGAATTGGTTCCGTGGTCCGGGGCCGCCGGCCGGCCGGCCTGTTTTGGGCCGGGTAATTGGGCGCGTGCCTCTGACCGGGTCGGGAGGAGGCGAGGCGAGGCGCGCCGGCCGGCCGGTCGGTGCCGGACGCCCACGCTGCACGGCGCCGACCGTGCAGCCCATGACCGCCCGGCTCGTCCGCGAAACCGGCCGACACAATTGCAGGAAGCGGCCGCTTGCTGGCGACGTTCGCGGTACTCGACGCGCGGTGCATTGTGGCGGCCCGGTGACGCGGCTGACGTGACCTCCAGCCACCTGCCGCCGCAGACGAGGTCGTCGGCGGCCGGCCGTGGGCGGCGGCCGCGCTCTCCGGGCTATCTGATGCGCGCCCATGGCGCATTGGCGTCGCGCTGAATGAAAGCCGGCGCGCCGAAAAAGCGCCCCCTGGCGGGCGGGCCGGACGGGCGGTCTGCGCGCCCTGCCGTGCCGCCGCCGCCGCCGCCCCCGCCCGCGGGCAAAAACGCGCCGTCGCCGGCCGGCCGACCTGGGGTCGCTGATCACAGGCGGTGGCGGCGGCGCGGCCGCCGGACACATCACGACCGGCGGTGGGTGGCGTTTTTGCGAGCGGGCCGGCGCGTCCCGCGAACTTTCTCCCGCCGGTCCGCGGCGCGGTATTGCTCAGGTGTCGGTCACTGGACACGGCGCCGCGGGCCGACGACGAGGCGCGAGGATTGATGGGATGGGTCTTCCTCTGGGGCCGGGAGCGAATAGTGAAACACGGCCGGGCGACGCGCAGGACGTTCCTCAAGCGCCGGGAATGATGCCGGTAAAACGGCCGGGAAAGTGATTGGTGTCGATGCGTGGAATGCACCGCGCCCCACGCGTTCGTGCCACGTCACACTGAATGTTTCGTGTGTCACTGTCAGGCGTTGCAATCATCAGCGTTAATGTCAGCGCGGCGGACGATGACAGTTCATCTGTGCCGCTGAGTCACCGCTGACCTCAACGCGCGGCGCCGACAACGCCGACTCACGGCACTCCACTACCACGCGGCGGGAGAGGAACCGCCCGTAAATCGGCACCGCCAGAACGATCTGCCTTCGTGGTACGTTTGGCCGGTTTACTCCACATTGTAACCCGGCCCAGCGCGTGGTCAAAGAGTGGTGTGTGTGTGAACGACAGGCGGCCGCCCAGCTGGGGCGCTTTTTGTCGGCGCCGCGTCGGAATGCGCGGCTCGTCGCCATATGGTCTCGGTCGCGCCATCCCGTATTCGCTGGCGGGGCGCGCGCCTTGCGTAACGGGCGGCCCGGATGAATGGACAATGGCGCGCCCCTAGATGGTAATGTGGACACCGACCGCTGCAGGAGCCTCCAGGAGCCGCGCCATTAGCATTCGCGGGCAGCGCGCCGCTTGCGCAAATGATCACGGCGTCGGCGGGGCTGCTGCCTCACGCTGCTACCTCGCGCGGGGCGGCCGCCGCGGTGCGCTGCTGCGACCTGGCCGGGCAGTGACTGGGGTGTGACCAGGTGTGGTCGCGGGCGTGACCGCGGGCGTGACCGCGGGCGCGGCCGGGGGCGGCGGCGCCGCCGGCCGCGGCTCGGCGTGTGGCGTCGCCGGGCGCAGGCCACGTGCGGCCAGCGACGGGCCTGACGCGGTCCTCCGCGTGTCGGCCGGCGGGGCACGCGTCACTCCGCCGGCGGCGGCCTGTATCGGGTGGCGGACGGACCGGCTCGCCCGCGCCGACACCGTGGGAGCCGCGGCCCGGCCGCCGCCAGAGCGCCCAGACGGGCTCAGGCATCGGCGCTGGAATGCAGTGGAGCGGGCGGGGGGGGGGGGGGGGGAAGGTCTGGTGTGACCCTCTCACTTTCAGATAAAATTATCAGTAAACATGTGACAATGTAGAGAGATGTTTTCACTGGAACACTGTACAGCCGCCATTTTCTGGGGCATTCGTACGCCGCTGGACTGACCGGACCGGACCGTGCGCCCCACCAGCGTCTCATGCAGACGGCTGGGGCGGAGACGCCCTGATCGAGTCTGATGGGGCCGGTCCGCCTCCGGATTTTTGGCATTTCAATTAGAGCCCACCCAAAGCCCACCTTCACGCTGACGGGCGTTCGCGGCAGGGCCGTGGCTCGAAGTCACGCAGGTATACACGGTGGTCGTTCTTTTTTTCACGTCTGTCGGATGGTCGGCGACGGCGGCCAGCATTGCCGTTTGCATTCGTCCTCGAGAAACTTAGGCGATCTCGTGCGATGGCGTTTGGCCTCGAGTCGAGCCGGGCGTTCATTGATGGCCGATCATGTATGGAAGCCAGTCCAATCTAGCCCCGTCGGGAAAGTGGAGAGCATGATATCTTGCAGAACCGGTTATGATGGAGAGATGTGTTGCATCGCCATGATGTTCATGAATGATATCAGTCATGGATGTCGTTTATGATGGTCCGACCTGACCTGACCTGACAGAACTGAACTGACCTTATCTGACCTGATACGACCGACCCGATCGGACCGTACCTCTTGACTGGTGATCTCATGACCTGACCTGACCTGACCTGGCCGGATGGATCTCACTTCCCTAACTGACATGATCTACTACGTGACATGGCATGGCCCTAACTAATCTCACCTGATCTCGGCCGACCTGAACTGACCTGATCTGATCTGATCTGATCTGACCTGACCTAACCGAAACCCGGGCCAATGACCCCTGCACTCACCCCTTCCGTGGCACTAACGCGACGTCAGATCCGGTCTGGCTGCCGGCCACTTCGACGGTCGGGGCAGCTCCATGACCAGTCAGACCGCCGCGCGGTGCCAGGCTCGCTTCAGTCTCTGCCGCTCCACGCTCTGGCGACCGTCAGCTGGCGACGGCGATTCCGCGAACTCGTTCTGCAGTCCCCCCCCCCCCCGGTC